CAAGTTGTAGTAATACAAGAACTCTTAATACATGGAATAATGCAGATTGCCTTATTTGTCATGGAACTAGCGCCTAATATGCTAAGGGGGATGGTTCTGATTGCTAAGCAACTCCACCTGGTGCTGATGTTACTTGCTCTACTAATGCATGTACAAGTTGCCCAACTGCTCCAACTGCTCCTGGTACCTTGACCTGGTAGATTGGTTCAGTTCCTGGATAATGTGCTATTAATAGCTGTCCTGCAGCAGGTACTTCATCAGGAATTACTGGTGCTTCTGATCTCTTCTGCAAATCTTGTCCTGGTACTCCTAATGGCTAAGTTCAAGCTATCTATGCTAATTTTGCATAAAATGCTTGTGTTGCTGCAAGTGCAAGTTGTAGTAATACAAGAACTCCTAATACATGGAATAATGCAGATTGCCTTATTTGTCATGGAACTAGCGCCAAATATGCTAAGGGGGATGGATCTGATTGCTAAGCAACTCCACCTGGTGCTGATGTTACTTGCTCTACTAATGCATGTACAAGTTGCCCAACTGCTCCAACTGCTCCTGGTACCTTGACCTGGTAGATTGGTTCAGTTCCTGGATAATGTGCTATTAATAGCTGTCCTGCAGCAGGTACTTCATCAGGAATTACTGGTGCTTCTGATCTCTTCTGCAAATCTTGTCCTGGTACTCCTAATGGCTAAGTTCAAGCTATCTATGCTAATTTTGCATAAAATGCTTGTGTTGCTGCAAGTGCAAGTTGTAGTAATACAAGAACTCCTAATACATGGAATAATGCAGATTGCCTTATTTGTCATGGAACTAGCGCCAAATATGCTAAGGGGGATGGTTCTGATTGCTAAGCAACTCCACCTGGTGCTGATGTTACTTGCTCTACTAATGCATGTACAAGTTGCCCAACTGCTCCAACTGCTCCTGGTACCTTGACCTGGTAGATTGGTTCAGTTCCTGGATAATGTGCTATTAATAGCTGTCCTGCAGCAGGTACTTCATCAGGAATTACTGGTGCTTCTGATCTCTTCTGCAAATCTTGTCCTGGTACTCCTAATGGCTAAGTTCAAGCTATCTATGCTAATTTTGCATAAAATGCTTGTGTTGCTGCAAGTGCAAGTTGTAGTAATACAAGAACTCCTAATACATGGAATAATGCAGATTGCCTTATTTGTCATGGAACTAGCGCCAAATATGCTAAGGGGGATGGATCTGATTGCTAAGCAACTCCACCTGGTGCTGATGTTACTTGCTCTACTAATGCATGTACAAGTTGCCCAACTGCTCCAACTGCTCCTGGTACCTTGACCTGGTAGATTGGTTCAGTTCCTGGATAATGTGCTATTAATAGCTGTCCTGCAGCAGGTACTTCATCAGGAATTACTGGTGCTTCTGATCTCTTCTGCAAATCTTGTCCTGGTACTCCTAATGGCTAAGTTCAAGCTATCTATGCTAATACTGCATAAAATGGTTGTGTGCTGCAA